AAAGAAATACTATATTAATTTTTTATTTATTATAAACATTTTATTTTTATCAATTTGGAACTAAATTTCCTTCCCTCTGATATTAATATTGGTTTTTCAAATTTGCGTAACGATCTTCAAACCAATAAAATTTAATTTTTGCGTGATATCTGGAAGGGAGATCGTCACATAATTTAGCCAATGAAATCAAATGTCCACTATGCTGGTCGCAGCTTTGACTATTGACGATCTGCACTGTATTTGTTGTTTTGCCAAATTTGATAACAATTCACAAAATAAAAATAAAAAACACGAAAAAAAACAGGGTTTTTTTTAATCATATCATATTACAAAAGAATTCCTAATTTTAGATTATTTAGGTTATTACAATAGAATGTATGTTTAAGATATTAACTATATAATATTAAGATATTAATATTGAAACATGTTACTAAGATAAGTCATTTACCTTAATATCTTAATATTAATTAATTATAAGTATTGTTACTTTTTTCTCACCTAATAATTATTGTTAATTTTTTCCCAATAAATTATTTTTTACATCTTTTTCTTCTAAAAATATTCCTTGAACTATTTTTGTTTGAAATAAGTAAACAACATTCTTACGCAATTTTTTGGAAAAAAAAAAAAAATACGGAACAAACAAATATTAATATGTCAAAAAAATCTATCGGAATAACTTTCAAACCTCGAGAGCTGTACACTAATAGAATCAAAAGAATTCTTGAAGACTATCCAGATGGTTCTCAAATTCTCAGGGAAATTCTCCAGAATTCTGATGATGCCAAAAGCACTGAGTAAATATTTATTCTCGACCATAATGATTATCCGTCGACTCAATTATTTGAGCCTTTATTGTCTAACTGTAAAACAGAAAATTTAAAACTTGAACGTTATCAAGGACCTGCTTTGCTATCAAAAAATGATACTATTTTTGATGAAAGAGATTTTTCCTCTTTATTGAAGTTGGCTGATAGTGAAAAGCGTGATCAATTTGACAAAATTGGAGGTAAATATAAATTAATTATAATAATTATTGAAAATATAAATTTATCTGATTTTCAATAATAATTAATTATTACTTTATTAATACTAGTTATGGGTGTTGGTTTCAATTCAATTTATCATATAACCGATTCTCCTTCATTTATTACTAATAGGAATTATGTGATTCTTGATCCACATGAATATTATTTCGAAGGCGGGCATTCTTTTGATTTCGTTGAAGACGATTTACAAAATTCTTATAAAGATCAATTTTTGCCAT